GTGTGTGTGTGTGTGTTGTAAGCACATGAGAAATCATTTAGGGTTAGAAAACCTTAGCTCTGGTTTGGCAGTGGGTGACTGTCGACCATTAATGCTTTCTCCATAAACAATTTCCAAAAACCGCAAAATATCACTAAATATTTCTTCCTCATAGACACAGATAACAATGAAAAGCAGCAGATTTATACATTTTTCTTCACTATTGTTTTATTTTACTATAACACTATATGATCTTATTGTTGTAGCCTGGGTGTGGAGTTCTGCTTCTTTCAATTATGATTTTTTTTTCTGCGTCATGTGACAAGAAGTTTGACTACAGATCAAGACAGACGATCTTAGGAGCGTTTTGTTTTCCTGCATCATCAAATAGCAAAATATATCTAATTAAAAACATTATAAATGATGGAGGATTGTCATCATGTTTGCATCGCAAAGAAGAAAAGAACAGCGTTTGCGTTACCAGATTAAAAGTTGTTGCAATCTACATGTTTGGATGCTTACTGTCATCAATCTTGACAAACAAACATGAACACTAAAACCCCACAACACTTTCATGCTTAACTCTTGTGCTATGTTGAGTTTCCTTTGGCGAAGCACAATTTGCATCCAAGCAGGCAATTTGACAGGAAATAAATTGTCATGTATAAACTGTTTTGTTAACTTGTTGTGGCAATAAAGCTTATTATGGGGAAAAATGAAAACCCTCAACAATTTTCCACATAGGTCAGTCAGGAATCTGCAGGCCAACTCCTGCAGGCTAATGGGATCATTACTCGGGAAGAGAAGTATGCTAAATATGTGGTTGTTCTGTCAAAAAAGCACAAAGCTAATTCCTCTGAATCCGATTTGAAGTCAAGCCTGGATGAATTTCAAGTAATCATAATTGAACTTGCAGCATTATTGCATAGTTTAAGGGCCTGGATCTTTTCAAGTTTCTGGTCACTGCGACATGTCACACTGACAGTTCAGTAAATTATAAGATACAAAATACACAAACACAATTAATCCCATCCTGAATGTGTCGAGACGTCCTTTTGTACAGATTCAAAGACACATGAGATGGTCACTGATAATACTGGTCTCACACCTGATTGTAACAGCGAAGTTGAGTATGCTGATATAATGGGCTCCATTGTGGTGTGTGTGTGTCTGTGTGTCCTTTGACCCCTCCAGGGATAATTAAGGACACATTTTTACCCAGGTCTGTCTTGGGTATGGCTTGAGGGATGTGTGTGTGTGTGGTGTGTGTGTTGTCCTGTGTGTGTGTGTTGTGTGTGCACATTTGCACATGTGCATACACCCTAATGTGCCCCATCCCGTTCCTTGTACACGCCGACCCAACCTGCCCTCCGTATGTCTAAGACTAGTGCTTCTGGGCTGATTGCCCGTATCACTTTCACTCACCAGCTAATAGACACACACACACACACATCCTACACACACTCACATCACAAACACACACACAAATACACACAGAGGCACACACCTTTTTAGACCAAGCCCTTGTAAAGGCACCTCCTTTGGGACACTCCGTGAAATGTACTCCTTGTTAGAGCTCGGGTGTGTGTGTGTGTGTGTGTGTGTGTCTGCTTTTCCTCAGCTGTTTCCTGCCAGCTCGGAGACCAACAGACTGTGAAGGCTTCTCTCTCTCCGCTCAAAATTCACTGCTTTTCTGCTTTTAAACAACCAAAGAATCTTTGGATGAGGAAATTTCTGACGATGTCATCACAAGGAAAATCTGACTGTGAAATTGATGGCACTAAAAGCTGATCCTCTCTCCTCCATACATATCCCATAATGAACTAAATCAAATTTAGTTCTTTCCAAGGGTATGTGCCCTTCAATGTGAAAATATCATAAACTATGTTAAGCCTTTTTTGGTTTCATTGACGATAAATCAACTTAGTTAACTTAAAAGTCCACATTGTGCCATTTATGAGTGTGATGAAGTCCAAAATCGACTTTTTAATTCAAGTATTTGGCTGTTACACATTTTCATTAATTGATTGATAACACCATTATTTACTTCACATCTGATGATATGACATTTGCTCTGGATCTATTTTATTTCTGACATTTAAACAAAATAATTAATCAATTAAGGGAGAACATAATCATAAAATTAAACAGTAATGAAAATAATTAGTTACAGCCTGAAGAATTATAAAATGTTTCATTTCAATGTTCCTCAGAAGAAAACACACATTTTCTTGTAGACATCTGGCCACAATAACTAAACCTGCTGATTCAAGGGAATGGTCATTTACCTGCAGATATCATTTACACTTATGTATATTTGTATACTCTCTCATTCAGTGCATAATTGATTTGAATATTTGCTCTTATTGTTTTTTGAAAGTATTTTAGATATGGTTGATGTTTTTTATTTGGTTTTGTATGCATTCAAAATGTTATTATATTTTTGATGTAAGACATATAGCGAGTGTTAAAGGTTGTGGAAATGTTTGGCGTAACTTAAAAACTAACTTTATCTAGAAAACCCATTATTACAAAATAGCCCTGTCTTCTTTATTAGGTGTGAACATAGCTTTGATTAAACAACCAGACATCAATTAAACTGCAACAGGACAAAGACTGTCTGCCTTAGATACACGTCATCCAACCGAGACACATGAATAGACAGACACACACACACACACACACACACACACTGAGGCATCCATGGTTAAGTAGCCAACTTTGTGGAATCTTCTTTGCTGCTATCTGATCTCTTTATCCTCCCTGTTTAAAGTCAAGTCTCTTATCAGGCGGCTGCTACTTATGAGGTTGCTGCATAGTTATAGAGGAATTTAAAGTATTGAACTGGCATGTCTAAAACTATGTGAAATGACTCCACATGTCTGTTTCTAGTCAGTCCTGAACTGATAATAGGATGTTTTATTGAGCTTCTGCTTTGGAGGAAGACCCGAAAACAACTCTGTTTTATTTGGACCCAAAGCTGTAGATCAATGGTTCAGTCTAGTCGGGTTTAGTTTAGTCAGCTAAGTCACTGATCAATTGCAGGGCTGCTTATGAATACCAGTTTCCCTAACATGATCAACAAATAATGAGAGGCGAAACAGAAACATGTGAATTTGTCATGAAAGGTATAAGTAAGAGAAGTGTCCTGGGAAAAATCCTGGAATGTATTTTTTTATATATTTATAAATTATATTTTAATTTCTGAAAGGAGTTGTGTTGCCTTGCAGATTAGAAAGAGAAAGCTAATTAGCGAGTTCCACTTCTGTGATCAGCTGGGATTTTTAACTTGTCTTTGTTTTCTCTTTCTTTACACAAGTTTTTTAAGCTGCTCAGACTAAGACACCTTCTATCTCCTTTGCAGAAGTGCTCTCCTAACAAAAAGAGGAATTTAGGTCATTTTGTTGTTGGGATAAAAGTAATCTTATTGAGTGCTTTGGTGCACGGGCACATGAGCCGAGACTAATAAAGACCTAAATGTTATCTATTGACATTTCATCCTGAAACACAGCATGGCGTCTGTGGAGTTGATTTTTTTTAACATCACAGAATTATTATATTTTGCTTCTTTATCCCATTTTATCCCTCCATAGCGTGTATTTAACACCAACCTGCTCCAAAGGCAAAGAAGAAGCTCTTGTCAGGGTGGTCCTCTAGCAGTGCCTTGACCCTCTTCCCCATCCTCTCATTCCTCTTGTAGATGAGCTCTTGTCGAAAGTAGCTGTCTATTTCCTGGGCAGTCACCTGCTCGCTGGGTGGCAGTGTCACGTTATTGAAGTTAGGGACCTAGGGTTGCAGGCATGATGGTTCAGTCAGGCCACAAAGGTGAAAAGGATAGGAAGCAGAAATTAAAAATGCATTACGCAAAATTTACTCAACCTTCTTGCCAAACTTCAATATTGACAATAAAGGCAACAAAATAATAAATGTATGGTAATTGTATGTACTAAGCAAGATGTACAGGAGGTAGAATAGCAAATAATGGCGAGAAAGACATGGCAGGGACGATGGAGGGAAGAACTAAGTTGGTAATAGTATAGAGAGGCTGATAGAAGGGAGGGTGTAGGGGTAGTTGTGGGGGATAAAAGGTCGGTCGGAGGGTTAGGGGTGAAGGTAAAAGGTCAAGGGTCGTGTCAGCGGGACACTCCAAAGTTCAAGGGGTCAGAATGACTCTTAGCTTATTAACTAGAGTGAAAGTAGTTAAAGTCCACTGCCTCATAAAATAGATGAGATTAGACGAGATGAGATGAGATGAGATGAGTTGAGATTAAATGAGATGAGATGAGACGAGACGAGACGAGACGAGATGAAACGAGACTGACCTGTGAGGTGTCGTGATTGAAGATGATGGAGTTGAGATCTCCACAGTTGTAGTGCCTGATGAGGTCTTCAGTGGTGTATGGGACCTGTAGGCTTCCTGCCCTTAAAGACTCCTGCTGTAATAACGTTTGGTTCAGGGCAAAGATCACCTAGAATGACACAATGACAACTTGTTATTGATTTATTAATGTTTTACCCTGATGGAAGATAAACAGCAAGAGCCGGTTCACTGATTAGAGCTACATTCTTGAATTACATTCAGTTACAGGATTAATTAATGTACGACTTTGCTCATGATTACTTTTTCAGATTTACACTCGTCATATGTTTCCATGAGAAGGTTAAAATGACTCAAGTAGCAACTTTGAAGCTGCTAATTAGCACTAACCACAAACAAGAGCTGAGGCTGGAATGTTATTAGTTTTGTAGGTATTTGGTCATGAACGGAAGTACAGGTTACATTTTTGACCTGATGATGGCAAAATGGAGGATCACCAAACGTTATTAGGATTCGGGGGCCATGAATGTCTGTACAAAATTCAACAACAATCCATCCAATAGTTGTTGAGACATTTCATTAAAAACAACAGATGTGAATCATATAGTGGCGCTAAAGGAAACCAAAGTCATTAGGATACACCATAAATGTATGGAAAAAATGTCAGGTTAATCTGTCCAATGGACAATTTTGATCTAAAAACCAAAATGGGTAGAGTAAAAGATTTAGATTTACTGAACTATTACAGCAAAGGAGACAGTTTTCAGTTTTCCTGCCAAAACACTCTCCACTCTCCTGCAGATATTCAGCTATTGTGCGAGCGTGAAATCGGCCAGTGTTTGGTAAGAGGGCCCTAGTGAGCCTGCCGCCTATGATCAGTACCGCAAGGACACACATATGCATACATGCACATAAACACACACACACACACACACACACACTGAATGTCCTACAGGTCTACACACAGCAAGACTGAGACAGGCACACAAACCCCTGCCACTCACCTCAGCACACAGCCCCTCTCTGATCTCTTCACCATACGTGCATACACACACACACACACACACATACACACTGTTCATCCTGAAAACCACTGATGTTGATTCCCATAAGGGGGGAAAGTTTGTATGGTTTATTTGTTTCTTAATGGGAACAATCAGTCAGTGAAGATGTGTTTTGTTAGCTGTGGAACTGTGTAAATGTGTCTGCCGTATGTCTGCATGTTTTTACAATTCAGTGTGTACATATTTGCCTGTGTGTCTGCACGTTCAGATCTTTGTCAAATGAATTCTGTATTAATATGCATGCCCGTACACCAACCAGGCCGACACAAGCGGCTGTTTTTTTTTATTTTATTTTTTTCATGTTCTGTTTTCTAAGGTGCCTCTGGATTTTGACACTTTTCTCTCTCGGCTGGGCCCCATTGTGGGGAGCAGCAGAGGAGAGGAGGAGAGGAGGGCAGTGTGGAGCAGATGCCTTCTTGTCAGGGGACAAAGAACCCCTCCGTCACCCTCTCTTCTCCTCTCCTCTGCGCTCCCTCCAGCTTTCATCGCCCGCGCATCAAAGTGGCGCTCTGCATATGAAAAGGGCCCCGTCTTTATGCCACGCAAATTAGCCTATCGCCACCCCTCCCCGACTCATTTCACAAAAACACCCTCACATCTGTGCCACGTCCGTGAAGGAAGGCCCTCATCTGCAGGGTCTCCCCTTTTTCTCAGCTCCCTCTTCTCCTCTTTCTCCGCTCACCGTGCCTTTCAGCCCCTTAAATTATGGCTGTGAAGGGAGGAGGAGGGGTGAGGAGGAGGAGGAGGAGGAGGGATTGGAGGGTGGGGGATCAGTCATAGCCAGATAAAAAGAAAGAGAGTAAAAAGGTTTGGGGAAGGAAAGAGATAGACAAAAAGAAAGAGCACGGGCAAGAAAGTGAGGAAGGATACAGAAAACAGGAGCAGAGAGGAGGAGTGAAAGAAAGAAAACCTTAATGAATGATTTCTTTCTTTCCGCTGTGATCCTCCTCTTCTGTTAGTGCACTGTGGGTCAGTGGGTGCATTTTCCCACTCGGCTCCTTTCATCAGGTCCCCCTGTTTCTTCTTCTCCTCCACTGCTGCCCCCCTATCCCGCCCCCTCCAGCACGCACACACAGACACACAGACACACCCCTTGCTGATATCAAAGCAAGCAGAGCCAATGAAAGTCAATAATTGTCCTTTGTCATGGAAATGGATCCTCTTGTTGAGATGGAGTGGGGTGGGTGTGTGCATCCAGAGCAAACATCATCACAGTCAGATTCCCACATGTGGAGATCTGGAGTGTTTCAGCGGCTCGGCTGAAAAAACCCTTGCTGCTCTTGCTCTGAAGTGTGTTGGCTTAGCTTAGGATTTGCAAGAAAAGTGGCAAGCATGCTTAGTAGAGTGTCTTTGAGGAGAGGTTACATTAATTGCATTTATGAAATGGTGGATCACTTCCCAACAGTCCTAGAAATCATCAGTCTGTTGAGAACTGTGATGACAAAAAGATGGCAGTAGTGACTCGTTTCAACCTGTTTCACACAGTTCCACAAAAGCAGACTGCTGTGCGCTGAGAACAAGCACCATGCAACTACAGCAATGATGCATTGCATAGTTAGTAGTAGCACTGTCACTATCATTGAACTCGGAAAAAAAGTGAGTATTTAATGAGCAACTCAAATTCAAAATTCAACACAACAGGCCACTAAAGTCTCACCCAGACCTACACTTGACAATGTATTGTTCTCTTCAGAAACTAAAAAAAGAAGCAAACTAGTGAATTGGGTAATCACAGTGTGTTGTAACATTATTTTGGGAGCTACACCAAAGAGAGCAAAATGGGTGTTCGCAAACGTTATGAAGAGAAACCGTCAAATGCTTGTTTGAGTTGGATTAGGCGATTGTCGAGTGAAAGAGACATAACCACACGTTGAACCCCGACCAATCAAAGCTTGCATGAGGTATATCGGTTGATCGGGAAGGGGATGCCAGAGGCCGCCACCACCAATAACAACATTCCTCTTTTAAGTCGCCATGTTGAAAGCTGTGTGCAGGATGGTGTTCTGGCCTCTCTCTACGTCGATGTCAAGGAACACATTGCAGAAGTTGTCAGTTGGAAGCTGATATCTTGTAGTCTGATCCCGGTGTAAAGTTTTCATGGCCACAACAGCAAATATGAGCTAGCTAGCTTCTTATACAAGAATGGACCATAAATGAGCAGAACAATGTCCACTTGGCAACAGAATAAAGGGAAGAAGTTCCAGTGTGTAACATTTATTGGCATAGGTATGTTTTCATCAGTGTATAATCACCTGAAAACCTGTTTTCGTTACTTTAGATTGAGCCATTTTTATCTTCAGAGGGTCCTCTTCTAAGGAGGCTGCCATGTTGAACCATATGTCTACAGTAGGCCAAACCGGACAAACCAAAACCACTGGCTCTAGATAGGGCCTTTGGATTAGGGTTACGGCACCATAGTTTCTCCTTCCCACTTGGTTGAGTCAAGGGCTTTCAGTTGCTTGCAATTTGCAACTTCACAGCTAGAGGCCACTAAATTCTCCACACTGGTCCTTTAATTGTAATGCTATAATTCATACGAACTAGTTTACTTTCAAACTGACAGTCCTGTTGAGGACAAAGACCACTTTTAACAACAGGATGTGATGACGGCACAACAGCCTGCAATGTTCAAACACAGTTCATTATCAGACTGCTTTTCAGTTTCATCTCCAGTATATTTCGACCTTAACACTGCTGCCTTACTCACCATAGACATAACAAGAAAAGATAAGATAACTTGAGGTATTTAATCTCAGCAACAACGTGTCAGCACCACATTCTGTCTGTATATAAATGTATAGTGTGTGTAAACTGTATGTGAGGTCCTGTCACAGTATGAATCTGCTGCAATGTGAGGAGCTTGTAAACACCAAGATAAACTCCTTGTATGGTAAAGCCTCCGGCTAATTGATGTTATTCTGATTGTAAGTGCTGGCACTGAAGTCGGAGAGTGTTTCGGTAACTTCATTTCCAAATTAATTTTGATAAGAAACTAAAGAGGAGCATGTGTGAGCCTACATGTAACCAGTTTACTGTTGATGTGTGTGTTTGTTCTTGTTTTCTAACTGATAGTGTGTGTTTGTGTGTGTGATTTCTACCAGAAATCAGCAGAGAAAGAAGCAAAACAGGCAAACCAATAAAAGGGAGGGAAAGACAAAGAGAGAGAAATGGACACTCTTTGTTGATGCTATCGATGAAATCTCAGAGGAGGAGATCACAGGCAGAGATGAAGGTGGACATAAATAGACGCAGATAGAGATTCTGAGTTACTTATGAGTGATGTTATCAGTGTAATGTTAGTCGGAGCAGTCGGCCTTAAAACAAGACCCATCAGGAGCTTTTACAGACACGCACTAACACCTGGTTATTTGACTACTTGGTTTACTTTGAACTGCAGGAAGTAACCTGTCTTTTATTTCATCTTCCAGACACATTTCAATATTTCTGGTGTCTACTCCCTTAACATATAAAATATTTCTTCATAAAACTTTTAATTAACAATCCAGTAACAACATTCCCAACAATGCCATGCAAGATCAGTGTTTTCATATGTCCATACATTTTCTTTAAATAGAAAAAACAAACAAACAACAGCAACAAAAGTGTTTTTGGTGCTGGGAAATTCTGAAAAATTATATCAAATTCACATTTCTTAAGAGATTGCTGTCAAGAGACACTACTGGCTACTGCAGCTGCAAGAAAATGGCCACAGCTTCATTCAGCAGGTATTCACTGACACTACCCATTCACACACACACATACACACACACACACACACATAAATCTTTCACCACTGCACAAGTGAGCTTTCACTTTCTTGCAGAAAACCCACCATTAAACACACACACACACACACACACACACACACACACCTGTCCGTTTGAGTTATCTATATTGTTCTATCCTACCTCTACCTTCTCTTTCCTTCCTTGCCCCCCCCCATTCTCTCCCTCCATCTCCCCCTGAGTACATTTTCTCTTTCTCTCCCACTCCTCCACTCTCACTCCTCCATTATCCTCCCATCATTTCAGTCCTGTTTCTGTCCCCTTT